ATAAATAAATAAATAAATAAATAAATAAATAAATAAATAAATAAATACATAACCAGGCTGAGGATACAGGTCAGGGTTGGAGAATCTGCTGAGAATGCACAGGGTGAATCAGTCACGGTGGTACAAGCCTTAATCTCAGCACTCAGGGAGGCAGAGGCAGGAGACTCTGTGAGTTCGAGGCCAGCCTTGTCTACAAAGCACGTCCAAGACAGTCAAGATCACACAGAGAAACCTTGTCTTGAGAAACCCGGTTATGAAAAACTGAAAAGAAAGAGAATGCACAGGGGCAGTCCCCAGGGGGGGGGGGGGGGGGGGGCTGGCACTCACTCGTGCTCTTAACAGTCCTTACAGACACGCCTATGGCAATCTTGTCACACTATTCCTGTGTTACTGCGGGTCCCAGCTTCCTGTGACGTCAGGTCTGGACCGGGCCTTCTCCACCCCAGCATTAGAAGATGCTCTGAGCTCACTGGGCACGCTGACACCTGTGACCTGAGCGTCTGCACCAGGCTCTGCGTGTGTAGCACATGTACCAGCTCCTCCCCGAACCCCGCTGCTGGTGAGTGTGGACAGCGGCCACACAGCAGACGCTGACATTTTCTGAGGTCTAGTGTGTAGGCATGGGAGTGTGCAGGAGAGGGACAGACAGTAGCTGTCTGTAAAACTCGGTTTTCACCAAATGACTGCTTAGGCCGCCTCTGTTCGGGTTTCCTGGACACAGACTCCTCACTCTCCTGCACAGACAGCCCTTCCTCCCCTCAGTTCCCACCTGTGAGGAGAGCCTGGCCGGGCCCTGCTTGTTCCAGCTCCTGAAAAGAGCTTTGCTTGATGAGCTGATGAGAGCTGCCAAAGGCCCCCATCCCTGTCCCAGTCGATGCTGCCAGGCTGTGACCTCCTTGTCTGACTAGACCCTGCTGATCTCGCCCCGGAGAGCCGTGCTGGCCCATGCTCCCCCTTGTCATCCTTCTGTGACCCATGTACGGCTCGCTCCCCCAGGAGACCACAGACGATGAGTGTCTGTTGTGAACATTTGGAGGGCTGTAAATTATACTGACTTCCCTCTTTTTACCCAGGACGAAACTTAACTTATTTTATTTTCTGTGATAAAAGGTATTTTACTGCATTAGTCTTTGTGACTATTTAATGTCTGTTTTTTTGTGTGTAGTTATGTGTGTGTGCGTGTGCTCACACAACACAATGATGAGCAGAAACAAAACTGCCTTCCAATGTCCCTTTTCACGTTTGTCAGACATGGCGACTCAGTGGCCTCTGGATCCCAATTGATTTCTGATGACTTCCTCAAAGATCACCTCACAATGTCAGAGGCTGTGTGCTGGGTGTCCTGGCAAGTGACACAGAGGATCGCATCATGATGGCAGACGCTTACTCTCCCTCAAACTTTTTTTAATATTTAAGTTGATTTTGTTTATGTAAAATGTCATTAACATGAATAACTGTTATTAACTTCGTGTTGTCAGTTAGAAGCTTATTCACCATCTGGGATGCACTATTGGCAAAGTAAATGCTAAAATACTTTTATCATTTATTTTTAATAAAACAAATAACACTGGAGGCTCAGCTTACAGAAAGGATTGAAAGATGGGGTAGACAAGCTTACCGATTCCTCTCTCCCTCTTTCTCTCTCTCTGTGTGTCTGTGTGCAGGTGTGTGTATGTGCAGGTGTGTGTGCAGATTACAAACATACGTGTGTGCGCATGTGGAGGCCAGAGGTCAGCACCTGGGTCTTCTTAGAGACCCACAGCTTTTAGGCTGAGATAGTCCCGGGGTATGGCATGTCTCAGGCGCTCCGGTGCTGGGACTGGAAGAGGACACGATGCCTGCTTTTTCATGTGGGTGCTGGGCACCCCAGCTCAGGTCCTCAGCTTGCACGGCATGCCCCTTACCAACGAAGCCATTTCCCAGCCCTAGGGTGGTCAGTTTCTGCAGTAACCACACTATGTGGAATTACAGGACAGTGAGGTGGACAAATGTTGCAATTGTAAAGGTATTGGGCTGGGAAGATATTCTACCTGTGCTGTCTCAGTAACGTCACCCTCCCCCTCCCAGCCCCCACCCCATCCAGTGCCATCTGCCTCAACCATTCCTATCTGGGCTACCTCCATCCATAACCCCAAGACACTTGCTTGTGTCCTTTACCTGGCTTTTTCACACTGTTATGGGAGTCCTCCCTCCCTGCCCACGTGGTTCATTCTATGCACTAACCCATCATGGTGTCCTTCTTCTTCCTCTGTTCCTGATTGTGCATTTCCCATGATTCTTTTCTTCCCAAAGCCTGGGAACCTTAGCCATGCCTACCCCATTCTGCCCTTCCCAGGGTTTAGGCCTTTTAATCAACCCATCAGGAATAATGTTTTAGGCAGGTTTACACAACAAGGATAGGTGTATCCAAGCAGTAACCAGATCTTGAGGGCCAGTAAATAGCATCAAAATACCAGCACCAGACCAACTCCCTACCGGGCTACCCAAAATAGGCTTTCCCCTAAGATTGGAAAGGGTTGGTGTCAGCTGTGCTGAAGCTGGCCAACATAGCAGTGGTTGAGTTGGTCAAGGCGCCACATGGTGTCAGAGAACTGCTTCAGTCCGGGTCCAGCTCTGCCCTTCTCTGCTCTCCCAGACTCTGGCCCTCAGGACTTCCCCCTGGCAGGACCCCAGCCTCATCGCCCCAGGATGCCCCGCCTCCTTGTTTCCCCAGGATGCCCCACCTCTGCCTTGATTGTCTCCCTTGAGCAATGGGCTTGGATAACCACAGGGACCCTGGGCTGTGCTTCTGGGGGCGTCACTGAAATCAGCAACAGCTCAGGGGGCGAGCTGGAAACTCCCCTTTGTCAGGACTTCTCTGTGACTAACCTCCACTTTCCTTCAGTTTGTCAGAGATTTCCCTAACTGAAGAGCAGAGGCCACTGTCCAATCAAGAGGCCGAATGCTGCAACGTCATCAGTTGCCAGGGAAGGCTGCTCCTGCAGGCGCCCTCAGCAGCACAGCTGTCTGCAGCTCTAGGGTGTGTGAGAGACAGCTGCGACTCCCCTCCCCCCTCCCTGAAGTGGATGCACTTAAATCCCCTCTGAGGTCTGCACCATTAGGCCGAGGTGCAGGGAGCGCCAGGCTAAAGGTGCCTGGTGACAGCCATCTTCCTTCCCTGCTCTGTCCCACACAGCTTCAAACACACTTGCCCCAACAGCCTTGAGTAGGGGTGACTCTCCCCAGTGCTCAGCCTGCTAGTGAAGGACTGAGCATGGCAGGGCTGGCCCAGCTCTGCCCGGTTACCGTGCCTCAGTGACCCGGATCCAGCATTAAAATGGAAATAAAAGGTCCTTTCCGAAACAGTATGTTGTTCACTCCTTGGGGAAGTTACACATGTGAACAATGTCCTTGGGTCCTATCCGCCACCCACCACCTCCCTCCAGCCCCTGAACCTCCCAACAGGTCCTCCTTCCACCTTCATTTCCTTAAAAAGAGTTAAAACCCACGGAGTCCAGTGAGCTCTGTCCACGAGCACCCGGGTGCGGGGACGTCCACCGGGGGACACGGACAACCAACGAACCATCAATATTCACCCTTTGCCCTCAAAACAGCCCTCCTATCCTCGTGTTTGCTTGGTTCTGTGTTGGTTTGAGACAGGGTCTTACTGTGTAGACCAGGCTGGCCCCTGACTCACAGAGACCCAGCTACAAGACCCAAGTGCAAGGATCTGAGGCCTGGGCCACCAGGCCAGGCTGAGTGTCCCTTTACTGAGGAGGATTTCAAGTTTCAGAAGGGACCTTCATGCTGACTCTCTAACCAGCAACTGATGATGCAGGTCCTCCCTGCTGCTGATTGGCTGCCCAGCACTGACCTTAACCAATCCAGCGCCAAAGCAGTGAATCCCCTGGATCTCATTCTCTTGATCATGAGTAAAGAGAGGAGAGTTTCTACTGTGTGAGGCCTGTCTGCCCCTCTGACTGGGCTCTCCTCTCCTCCAGCATGATGCGACTGTGGCTCCCCAGAGGTCCCTGTGTGGCAGCTGTGGTCCTGACACTGATGGCGCTGAGCCCTCCCATGGCTTTGGTCCAGGACCTCCGACGTAAGTGCACGCCTCAGGGCTGGGCTGCTGGGGAGGGGTCAGAAGGGGCTGCTCCCCCACCCTCCAGGTCTAGTCCCGTGACACTACTGATGGTTTCTGTGACCACTCACAGTCCTCCGATGAAATCCAAACTCTGTCCTCACATAGAAGCCTGGATGTTCGTGCTCCCAGATCTGTGGGACAGGCCCCTGTATCTACCCGCCATTGCTCTGTGAGCCCTTGGGCCACATTCCCTCAGGCCCGAGAGCATTGATAAGTCAGGGTGTCCAACTAACTTCTCACCCGGGGCTTGCTGTCGCTGTGATGAGCTTTGCCAGACAAAGGTTTCTCCTTAAAAACAGAACTTCATATGCGCGTTTCTGTCCTACTGTGTATGTGTGTTTTCTGTTGTTTTAAGCAGAGAAGAGTGAATGTTGATCTAGTCAGAAGATCTCTGTGACCCTGTCACGGAGTCGGGCACGGGGAGGGCGTCATGGAGATCGTGTGCATCCTGTGAGGCTGCGAGGCGGCTGCCTGGGCAGCGGTGAGGCTGAGCCCAGGGCTTCGTCCTCCTCCCCAGCCCGGGTGTGTGCAGCCTGCTCCCGTGTGGAAGCTCTGCTGGGCGGTGGTGAGCCTTTCCCTTTCTTGATCCCTACAGTCTCACCTCTCACTGCCGCCCTCATGCCCTGCGCTCTGTTCATCATGAACCCAGTGTTGGCGTGAGGTGTTACCTCAGCTGAGATGTGTCCTGCCACACACACACACACACACCCACACACACACACACGCACACACGCACACACGCACACAGACACACACTCAGACACCTCCCTCTTGTGGCTCTCCTCTGTGACACATCCTCATTGTCACCCCCAGAGGGCCTCTCTGCCCCTCCTGTCACTCAGGTCTCCCTGAGGCTCCCTGCTAAGGGGGCTCCACCCTCTCTCTACTCCTGCCCACCTTCAGGATGCTAAGCTCCAAGTGGAGGAGGCCTCTGCTTCTCCTCTCCGGATGCTGGATGCCAGAGGGGTGGGGGTGGGCAGCACAGGCCCGAACAGGGTGGCACTGAGGGTTTGCTGTGCTCTAAGCGGTGTGTAAGAGAGGAGCCTGAGCATGAGAAGAGGGAGGTGCTGTCTTCTGAGGTGTGAACTCTGCCTTCCAGCTGAGCTCCAGGCGGGGCAGCTCTGGGTCAGACAGGGGCACCTCCCCTCCCCCACCTCTGGAATGCCTCTGTGGGAGCTGAACTTTGGGGCGGTGACCTGACTCTGGACACCAACTGTCCCTCCTGGATGCCAGTGACAGGATTGCTCTGGTCTCGGGTTTATACCCAAAGGGTCATTTCCCCTTGGAGATCTTCCCCTGGGAAGAGCACAGCGGCCATTGTCCAATCCCAACTGGTCAGCCCTGAACACACACCCACAAGTGACATCATACAGGGGGAGGAGTTTGTACTTATGCATAGGAAAGTACATGTATGTACATACATGTGTATGTACATACATGTACACAGCAATAGTTACTGACAAAAGAGGCCATGAGAGGAGAACATGGCTGGGTTGTGGGAGGCCTCAGGGGAGTAAGGGAAGGGGGAGGTGATGTGAGTATGTGACAGTCTCAAAGAATAAGCGTCTCACTGGGTCTAAACCCCACGGAAGGGCGGGCCCCAGCCCAGCAGGTTCCCGAACACAGAGTGGACTAACGGTGTCGTGGGGAGGTTTTTGTTTTGTTCTGTTTTCTTTTCTTACAGATCTTTTGCTTATATATTATGGTTTCAGACTTTTTTTTTTTAAATTCCTGTGTGAATGTGTATCTGTATTTCTTTTGTTTTTTTTTGTTTGGCTTTTTTTCCATGATATTTTGTTTTGACCCTTTTTTCTTTTCTTTTTTTTTTTTTTTTTTTTTTTTTTTTTTTTTTTTTTTTTTTTTTTTGTCCTAGTTGCCTGTTTTCTAATGTAAAATTACGGAAACTGTGGGCTTGGGTGGGTGGAGAGTGAGAAAACTGAACAGAATATATTGTATGAAAAAAAATTTAAGAAATAAGAAAAAACTAGGATAATCCAGTGGGAAGTCAGATGGCTAATCAACCTCTCTGTTCACTCGGGGTCTGGCGCTCAAGATGAGGGTTGAGGCTGGAGAGATGGCTCAGCGGTTGAGAGCACTGGCTGCTGTTGCAGAGGACCTGGGTTCAATTCCCAGCACCCACACGGCGGCTCACAGCTGTCTGTAGCTCCAAGTCCAGGGAGTCTGACACCCTGACACTGACGCACATGCAGGAAAGACACCCAAGAACACAAAATAAAAATAAGTAAATTAAAGTCACACGTGTGTGCGCTCTTGTGCACACGCACATACAAACACACACACACTTGCAAAAAAAAAAAAAAAGAAAGAAAAAAAGAAAAAAGAAAAAGAGGGGAAGGAGCTGAAGGGAGTCGCTGCTTCTCCTAGGAATAGGGGCGGTTTCCCAGAGCTCCTCCTTCTCTTCCGTAATTTACAATTGTCAACCATGCGGCCTGGGGTGGGTGTATCCCTCTGACCCGTGGGTTGTGGTGACGGCAGAGGGGTCTGGGGCGAGCTGGTGTCTGGCCATTTTGGGCTGCAGAGGGACTCGGGCATCTCGTCCCCAGAGAAGAAGTTAATTCCTGTCTCCGCAGCTCGGTTCTTGGAATATGTTAAATCTGAGTGTCATTTCCTCAACGGGACGGAGCGAGTGCGGTTTCTGGAAAGATACTTCTACAACCGGAAGGAGTACGTGCGCTTCGACAGCGACGTGGGCGAGTACCGCGCGGTGACCGAGCTGGGGCGGCCGGATGCCGAGTACTGGAACAGCCAGAAGGACTTCCTGGAGCAGAAGCGGGCCGAGGTGGACACGTACTGCAGACACAACTACGGGGTCGGCGAGAGCTTCACTGTGCGGCGGAGAGGTAGGCGGGACGGGCGGCCTGCAGGGAAGAGGGACCCGCGGGGAGGGAGGACGGTGAGCGAGCAGGGGGAGGCGCGTGCGCGCTCGTGGGCAGGAGCCGCAGGGGCTGCTGGGAGCGCGGAGCCGTAGGGGCTGCTGGGAGCGCGGAGCCGTAGGGGCTGCTGGGAGCGCGGAGCCGCAGGGGCTGCTGGGAGCGCGGAGCCGCAGGTGGTGTTCAGCCGCGGGCCCCGAACAGCTCGTCCCCTGCAGCGGCCCCGCTGGTCACCGCGGCCCCGGGCCGGAAGCCGGGGAAACGGTTAAACACGCTCAGCTGAGGCGGGAGAAGGGCGAGCAGAGGGAGGCGCACACGCAGCCCAGGGTGTGCGCTTCCCGGGGACAGAGTCCGCCGAGGGAGACCGGCCGGGTGCCCGAGGCCTCCCCCAGGAGGAGCAGGCCAAGGTTGCCCTGGCGTCAGCCATTGCAGGGTTCGAATCCCACGTTACAACTCCAAACTTTTCTGAGGAATTTGCTTGTCTTTCCTCTCTGCACACGCGAGGTGGCTCCGCAGATGCCCCGGCCTGGTGGACCCAGGAGCCGCTTGTGTTGCACAAGGGACTTAGCCTGTGTCTCTTGCCTGCAGTGGGTCTCTGGTGAGGTCCCCAGACACTGTGGGTCACAGCTGGGGCAGGGGAAGGTCACAGGCAGCTGGTGATGGGGCGCAAACATTGCTTCTTGGTTAGTCAGAGGCTTCACTCAGGCCCGGAGGGAGGGGCTCCTCTCTCCCCCCTTGTCCCAGTGTTTCCGGGACCTTCCATCTGGCCTCAGGTGTGCCTCAAGATGACAGCGACCCCGGGAGAAGTGTGGGCTGAGGTGAGGGACGGAGCCTGGAGAGAGGAGAACAGCCCTCATGTTCCGGGTGGTGTGGGATGAGGGGCTGGCGATGGAGCAGGTTGAGGTGAATTGGAGGCCTGTGAGGAAGGAGACTGAGGCGTAGGACAGGGACACGAGGAAGCTAAGAGGGGCAGCGTGAGGACACTGGTCACACTGTCCCCACTCTCTCCTCCATGCTGAAAACACTCCTGCAGTCCAGGGTGCTGCGCTTGCAAAGGCAGCTCCTAAGAAGTGTCAGAGCGAGCTGTGCGGGGTGAGTGCGGGTGGGGAGGAGCGTGTCCTGGGAACGGAAGGTTCCAGAAAGAACCTCAGGGTCTGCAGGACTGGGAACTCACTGGCACCTCGGTGATTCGGGAGGTAGGAATGGTGCAAGTCCGCAGCCTAATGACAAATAATCCTGGGCTATCCCATGTCCCCTTGATGGTCGTTCCTTGTCCACATCGGGCTCTGACATCCTTGACATGAAGTGAAACATTTAGGTGTCTGGATTTATATTCTCCCAACCAAAAGCTGAGGCTTCATCAGAGAGCAGCTAGGCCCATGGCTGCAGTTCCTCACCCTGCCATGCCCCGCCCACCTGAGGCTTCCATGATGCACTTGAAAACTATTTAGTCATCAATTCCTGTTGCCATGGGAACACCACAGGTGAAATCTGGGTCATCTTACTCTGTATTCCTGGACCATGATCTCACATATCTGACTCCAGAAAACACTGTCCCGTGTCCCCTCTGAGGTGACCCCTGGATCTTACACTAACCAATCACAAGGAGCCTCTGGCTCTTTTTTTTCCTTCAAATATTTATTTATTTTTATGTGCAAGAGTGCTCTACTGCATGTCCACCTGCCCACCAGAAGAGGGCACCAGATCTCACTATAGATGGTTGTGAGCCACCCTGTGGGTTCTGGGAGTTGAACTCAGGACCTCTGGAAGAGCAGCCAGTGCTCTAAACTGCCGAACCTTCTCTCCAGCCCTGCCTCTGACTTTTAGGCTTCTTTTAGGTCTAAATTTCCTGCTGGTTTTTGTTTGTTTTTTCTTATTTACATATTTTAACTTTGCTGGATGATGTCACACTTCGCCTTTAATTTATCATTTCATTATTTAATGTGTTGCCATTACCATGGTGATAGACCTGGCTGCATTTTCAGGTCCCATGTTATTTCTCTGTGTCACTGAGATGGTGTGGACCTCACATCCTCTGTCAGGTCTTCTCCTGTCTGGTGTGGGAGAGGCTGTAGTTCCAGGACCCCAGGGACACCTGACAGCCAGACGCTCAGGCCCCTTCTATAAAACGAGCCAGCGCTGGCACACAACCTGTGCGCATGCTCCTCAGTAGCCATCTGTAGCTCACTCAGGAGGTCGCCTGGTTCCCTGACAAAGGCCTGAGTTTGGGGTTCTGACTGAATGGGTTTGGCCATCTACCCACACCCAGAATAAGGAGAAATGGACAGAAAGGGAAACTGAGGTTGATTTCAGCTGGTAGAGCCAGGGATACAGTTGATGTGTCCTTCCAGGTGTCAGAAGTGACAGCAGGAGAGAGAAAAGGCCAGGATGCATGCAGGTGCAGAGATGGCAGGCTGTGGACAGGGGCAGGTGTGGTCTTAGGTACAGCTGTGGGGTCAGGTACAGCTGTGGGCTTAGGGGCAGCTATGGTCTCAGGTACAGCTGTGGGGTTAGGGGCAGGTGTGGTCTCAGGTACAGCTGTGGGGTTAGGGGCAGCTATGGCCTCAGGTACAGCTGTGGGGTTAGGGGCAGCTATGGACTCAGGTACAGCTGTGGGGTTAGGGGCAGGTGTGGGCTCAGGTGCAGCCAGGTGCGCTGTGATTCTGGTTTGCTGTGTGTCCTAGTTAGAGTTACTGTAGATGCACTGAAGTATCTTGACCAAAGAAAACCGAGGAGGAAAGAGCTTATTTAGCTTAACCGTCCATTTCTCTGGTCATAATCAAAGGAAGTCAGGACAGGAACCCAAACAGGGCAGGAACCTGGAGGCAGGAGCTGATACAGAGCCGTGGAGGGTGCCGCTTCCTGGCCTGCTCCTCATGGCTGCTCAGCCTGCTCTCTGTAGAACCCAGGACCACCAGCCCAGGATGGCATCACACACAGTGGGCTGGGCCCTCCCCCATTGATCACTAATTAAGAAAATGCCCTACAGCCCAGTCTTATGGAGCTATTTTCAAATTGAGGTTCCCTCCTCTCAAGTGACTTTAGCTGTGTCAATTCGACATAGAACTAGCCAGGATGGTTTGTAATGTCAAAACCCCCAACCCTGTTTGCACAACTCAAGGTGTGGTGGGGGAGAAGGCAGATTCCTTACTCATCTTGAGAAGATGGATGAACGGACAACGAGAAAAGAAACGGAGCCTTCTCTGAACTGGTTATAATGGAGGGAGAGAGGTTTACAGTGACATGCCCTGGGCAAGGCTGTGACAATGAGTTGGCTTCTTCAGCTGAGCTAGGACCCTCCCAGCTCTGCCATCTGCTGCTTGTCCACTGCTGTGCTTGGACAGTGTCAGGACGCACACTGCAGCTCAGCCCGTGGTCCCTGCAGTCACACTGACAGGCCCCTGCTGAGGATGCCGTGGATCCCTGTGTCAGGGCATTAACAGTAATGATGTAAGATTGGCAGAGTTGATTTATTCAGAGTTTTGCCAACACAGAGCAGAGTGACCCTCAGTGAGTCTGCCCGCCCCCCCCCCCCCCCAGAACTGGCACCGTCTACACACAAGACCAGAGAACCCTGGACACCGCTGGGTGACTTAGCTGTTGGGGAAATGGCCACAGCTGGGAGAAGGGCCTTGCCCTCCCTGACAGGAGCCTCACCTCCTGGCGATTCCTGCAGGGTGCGGAGCTGACAGTGAAGTGTGGAAAGGACCCGAAGTCCAGGGAGCATGCGTGCTGGCTCCTTAGGCCTGCCTGGACTCCAGCCTGGGTGGATGGAGGCGGACAGGAGGCCCAGCAGCAGGACGGCTCCGCCCTCGTGACTCACTCTCACCCTCTCTCCTCCAGTTGAGCCCAAGGTGTCTGTGCACCCTGCAAAGACACAGCGCCTGGAGCACCACAACCTCCTGATCTGCTCTGTGAATGACTTCTACCCGGGCGACCTTGAGGTCAGATGGTTCCGGAACGGCCAGGAGGAGAAGGCTGGGGTCTCGTCCACCGGCCTGATCCCCAATGGAGACTGGACCTACCAGGCCCTGGTGATGCTGGAGACGGTTCCCCAGAGCGGAGAGGTCTACGCCTGCCAGGTGGCGCATCCCAGCCTGAGCAGCCCTGTCACCGTGGAGTGGAGTGAGTGGGGAAGCCCTAGCCCTGGGAGGGCCCGCCCACCAGGAGGGGCGTGGCCCACCCCCCCATCCGTCAGCTTTCTCTGGCCCTGTGAGGACCCGCCCACCAGGAGGGGCGTGGCCCACCTCCGCCTCTCAGCTTTCTCTGGCCCCGTTAGTCCCCGCCCACCAGGAGGGGCGTGGCTCACCCTGTGTCAGCTTTCCCTGTCCACACACTGTTCCACGGTTCTGTGCTGTCCTCGCTCTCCCACAGCGCGGGTCACACGGGGACATGTGTGATGCTTCTACAGCACCTTTGCCCCCTGGGAAGCAGTTATGCCGCCCCACACTCTTAGAGCCTGCCAGTGACGTCACGGGCCCTGGACCTGCTTGGCCCTGGCTGCAGCTTCTGCCTCTGTCTGGATTGTGTTTCTGCTGCTGCTCATGATGAAGATGGACAAGGAGCGCGCGGGGCCGTGGCTGCCCTCAGGGACGTCCTGTCTCAGCTCTGCCTTTGCTTAGCTCTCTCACCCTCAGGCTGCCTCCTCAGAGCTCAGCGGCTTCCTGTCAGCCCAGCTCAGGGCCGCCATGTTTCAGCCATGCCGTGAGCCTCTCTGCTTTCTCAGCATCACCAGGAGTCATCAACTCCAGTTCTTCTAGACAGGTTCTTCCTGGGTCTCAAAGCTCTCAGTGTCTCTCAGTGTCTGGGGTCCCAGGAGGGAACCGGGGTCTGGGCTGAAGTCCTCCAAGCCTGGCCTTGCTTCTCAGGGGCGCAGTCCACATCTGCACAGAACAAGATGCTGAGCGGAGTCGGGGGCTTCGTGCTGGGCCTGCTCTTCCTGGGAGGTGGGCTGTTCATCTACCTCAGGAACCAGAAAGGTAAGGGCTTTGTGGTGACTCCATAGCATCTTGGGGAAAGCCAGGGCTTTGTTCTTAGTGTGTCACAGGCCTGTGACCTCAGCTTCAGTGGACTCTGAGCCCCAGTCTGTAGTTCCTGGGTTGAACCCTGAGGAGTGATAACGTAGAGATGGGAAAGTTAGGGCTGAGGACAGAGGAAGAGTGAAAGAAGAGCCATGGGCACTGGTGTGACTGGAGCTTCCTGAGCCCTCCCTCTGTCCGTGCTCCTCTCCATCATGGCGGCTGAGGGCTGAGGAAACAGGAGCCTTGGTGGCAGCTCAGAGTCTGGGGACTGTGTCTGGGGACAGATCTGTCTCCACACATTTAAGCCTCTATTCTGTTCTGTCTTTTCTAGGACAGTCTGGACTTCAGCCGACAGGTAACACCCTTTAGTCTTCTCAGAGACAGACCTGCTTTCCCTCCAGTGTGGGGCTGGGCAGTGACGGACACGGGGCAGAAACCCTGGGGAAGATGTAGATCCAGAGTCTGGCCAGCAGTTTGCACTGAGCCTTGTTCCTACACTTACTAGAGACCTGTGTTCTGAGGTGACTCAGGGCATGAGAACTTCCTCTCTGCTCACTGCCATGTTGTCAGGGGAGGTCGGGGTGCTCAGAGAAGCCACCCCATAGTTAGATCTGGAAACACACTGTCCCCTGTACTCTGCAGGACTCCTGAGCTGAGCTGAGGGGACAAGGCTGAAGGAAGGAGTTCTCCCCATCTCCATGCCGTGGTGAAAACATCCTGCTTGGCCCACATTCCTCCAGAGACAGTGCTCCCAAGACCTGCCTCCTCCTGATCCTGGACCCTGCCGACCTGTGCTCCTAGCCTAGCCCTTGCCTGGGCCTGGCAGCCGCAGGACACAAAGACTTCTCCTCACCTTTCCTGCTCCCTTTTGTCCCCATCCTTTGTCTGGTGCTTCTGAGCTACTCGGCCATCACATGATTTCTTACATCAAATAAAGATAGAGTGAAAATCGGCTGATTCATAGTTTCATAGATTAAGAAATAGCAAAGAAAAAGGAAAAATGCACTGGAAGACACTGTCATGCATTATAGGCATGGGGGATAGTACATTAGAGGTAAATTCAGTCTGAATACACTACTTGTTAAGCAGAATATTTTTCTGGATTGGACTGAATTTTAAAAGACAACATCAGTGCAGACACAGCCATTGAAGTGCATGATCTGGATGTCCCTGAGAGGTTGTGTCTGAGGAGGGAGATGCTCTGACAGCCTGTCACAGTGTGGGCGAGAACACAGTCAGGGGCTAGATCCCACAGGCTCTGCCCTTTGCCGCACGGAGCAGCTGGATGTACAGGGAAAGGCGCTGGCATTGGGTGAGAGTCAGGGAGGCTCTGCTGGGGCTGCACCTGATGAGCTGGTCTCGGGACGCCTGAGGCTTTCCTCTGTCCTTCACACAGGGGACACACATTTAACTCGGGATGCCTGAGGCTTTCCTCTGTCCTCCACACAGGGGACACACATTTAACTTGGGAAGCCTGAGGCTTTCCTTTGTCCTCCACACACACAGGACACACATTTAATAAAGCAGTGAGTGTCCACAACCAACTCAAGGATAATGAAAGAAGTGAGACAACGGAACTATGGCTTTCAAAAGTCAATCTTCTGGTAGGTAATTTCCTGAGGAAAATATGTTTCCTAGAGGAATTTTATAGAAAATAAACCTATGAGAAGCAGGGAGATGGCTCGGTGGGTGAAAGTGTTTGCTCCAAATTTGACTCCTAGAGAGGACACAAAGGTGGAAGAAACAATTCCACAAACTTGTCCTCTCACCCCTTCACTCAAGTCATGGTACATGCAAGTAGACAGACAGACAGACAGACAGACAGACAGACAGATTAATACTTAAAATGTTTTAAAATAAAAAAAACATCAGAATTAAAGACTGATTTTACAGGAGGCTAAAACCATATTATATGTATTATATGCCTTTTGTGTGCACGTGTGTGCTGTGTGTGTGCACTCGTGTGAGCATGCGTGTGGGAGCGGAGATTGACTGCGCGTCCTCCCGAGTTCACCTCTGCAGAGTCTCTCACTGAACCTGCAGCTCACCGATTGGTCCTCCGTGTCTGCCTCCCAGACAGTGGGGTCACAGCGCACAGCCAGGCCTGGCTCTGAGGTCAGGTCCAGAGTCGTGCAGCATTTACTGACGGAGGTGGTATCCTCCCTGTGTGCGTCTGTGACAGTCATTCACTGTTGACCGTGGGGCAGGCATGAGTCAGAATCCTGAATCCTGAGGCTGATGCAAAGACGCTTAGAGTCTGAAGTTGATAGGAGAGTGTATTCCCAGCTCAGTCCTGTCAGTAAAATAAGTCACTGATGAATAAAATTAAAACCAAAGAAAACACAACATGTTAGTGTGTCCATTCCTGTCACCATCACCCATTGCCACCACCATTGTACACACACACACACACACACACACACACACACACACACACACGAGGGTGAAAATCCCCTCCAACCTAAGCTGTTTTGGTGGGGAGGGGTGTAACGGGCTGAAGGGAAAAGGCTTCGACAGCCTCTTAGGTTGTGCCTCTTCCATATAACTCAGCCATGTCACTGCTCGGAGCACGTCTGTGAATAAACACAACAAACCCCAGGAGGGCAGTGGCACAGACGTTTGGAGACGAGGCTTCAGCAGCCACACAGTGAAGCCGACCCTGACCCTGATCCCCACCACCCAGGGAGCCACAGCCACCTCCCAGGATGCCACTCAACAGCCAGGGAGCAGGAAGAGCAGCTTCAGGAGGATGTGTGAGTGAAGGGGCCCAGACACCGGTGGCTACACCTGATGTTCAGGAGGAGAGGCCAAGTCCATGACCGGCCAGTTAAAGCAGCTGTGTGCTGTGCGGACAGGGTTAGCCAGGGGGCTGCCTCTGCTGGCCTCTTGAAGTCCCTCTTACAGGAGACATAAGTGCTCACAGGGGCAGAGGGCTGGCGGCTCTGGTAAAAGGACACAGTGAAAAGGAAGGAACAAAGACAAGAACATGCACCTGGGGCGACTCTCAGCCTACATCACACCTAACAAGCAGAGCTTACTCTCAGCTACAAGTGGAAACTTTATTGCAAGGACTCAACATGGGACAAGCAGGGACTTCTCCCTTAGCTGGGATTGAACACAGGGCACAAGGGGACTTCTTTTTAACCGTCTTAGCTGCAAAGAGAACTCTCAACCTGTAAGGTACAGTTTTCTGCTTTGGTCTCCCATTAACTTGGGAGGTACTTGTTGTGTTTTGGTCTCACATCAACCTTCGAAGTAAATACCTCATGTTTGTGTTTTGGTCCACTGTGAGGATGTCTTTTAAAGTGACAAAGATACAACAGATCTGATAGAAAGAGTTTTATTTGGTGGAAGGGAAAGGGAAATGAGTTAGGGCCTGAGTGAGCCATGAGGGTGGGGAGAGAGACAGAGAAAGTGTGACAGAGAGAAAGAAAGAGAGAGAGAGATGGGGGAGGGTGCCCAGGAAAGGAGGAGAAACCAGGGCAGAGAGAGTGCAAGAGAAGAGGAGTGAAGGGTGGAGGGGTAAGATGCCCGGGCCCCTGTTGGCATTGGCCAATAAAGACATCACAGATGGCCAAGCAACCTAGCAGTGGACCAGTGCATGGACTTGTGAACTAACATTCCTTCCTTTTCCTATAATTAAAAAGGGAGGGGGAGCTTGGGAGGGATGGCAAGGTGGGAATGAAGATATTGGACTGCTTCTTATGCAAGGCAAGTTAAAGTTTATAAATGTAGGTTCAGGAAGCAGCTCTTGGCTGCCATGCAAGGGAAAGAGAGAGAGAGAGAGAGAGAGAGAGAGAAGTAAGAGCACCAAAATGTCTGGAATACATGGTGAGGAAGAGGGGAAGCCCTTGCCCTGGAAAGTTCAGGGTAGAGGGTGGAGTTGCCAGCCATCTCCAGCAGCAGATAGGGACTGAGGAATGCTGGGAGAACGCTGGGCCTGAAGCACACCATTGCAGCCTTTTGTTGATAGTAAGTGGATAATAGGCAAAGATATCAATCGTCTTTAGCTGCTTCCTGCAGGGATGGCAATAGGGAGGGCAAGAGGGTGAAATGTTCAGGAAGAGCAGGCTGTTGTGCTGTTGTATTTGCTGTCCAGGATCTGAGAACATGTGTGGCTTGGAGGGAAAGTGCAGCTTGGCTTGACACAGTCTGCCAAGTTAGGTTGCAGCACCTGTGGGTAGCTGCTTTGGCATTGTCCTGGATGCAGGAAATACCTGGCAGGGTACTGGAGCATAGATATGGGCAGAAGACAGATTTAGGTAGGTTAGGAAAAAAATTTCTTTTAGGTGTACATTTAAAACTTTTTGAGAGAGCGAGCAAAGAGGAAAGGTTTTAGAGGGAAGAGGGACTTGAACATGTGAACCTCCATTTACCGATCACTGGCAGTAATTACAAAGGTTTTGTTTGGATCTGTCATCTCAAGGAAATTGAGGCCAGGTTTGTTTGCAGAGGTGCATAAGCTTTAGAGCACCTTAATTCAGGTGCTCTAAAATTCTCCAGAAGACAACCCAGTGGGAAGTCTGGAGGAACAGAAGAATGGACTGTTCCCGTTGGGCAGGTAGGACTCAGTGACCTGTCAAAGCATCCCAAGAGCAAGGTTTGACTCAGTAGATTGGTACAATCTGTTCTAGCTGATTGTTATGGCTGGTCAGAGACCAAGGGCACAGTTGCCCGTAGCAGACACAGTTACCTATCGCTAGGATTTCGTAGGAGTGTGAGAGGGGGAGGGAGAGAAACCGTGCAGGTAGAGGGTTCTCACCCAAGGAAGAAGGGCCTAGGTGAAGGGTTTAGATGTGGGTTGGCAAGAGCAGCAGAAAGCATTGAGGCCAAACAGAAGTGAAGACTCACCAATCAGCCGGTGTCAGGTGCAAGAATGTAGCAATCGGGAGGCCAGGAAAGGGGAGTCCCCAAACGGGGAAAGGGGCAGAAATCCCATCCTCTGAGACAGACAGTAGGCTGTTGATTGGCAGTCCTTGTCTGGATTTCATTTGGCCTGAGAGGTGGATTCAGGTGGATTTCCTGCAGCTCACAAGGATCCCTTTTTAATTTTACAGAAGAGGGAAGGATACTTTCTTTCAAAGAGCCAACAATGTGTTTGCTGAGGCTCTTGTTGGGACATGCCCCATGCTGACTTCAGCAGAAACAGTTGAAACAGTCCAACTAAAGTTTATTTTATTCTGTCTATTGAGCCTGGCACCCCGGGCAGCACTTGTAAAATGTGTGGGTTTTCTTTCTATATGTTTATTTAAAGTTTCAGTAGACAGTATAAAAGAAACTTTCATTCGAAACTGTTGTCTCTGAGGATTAAGGCCTCTATCAGCTAACCTAGGCCTAGACCCGGAAGAGTCTAGCGTCTGTACAATCTAACCCAGGCCTAGAATGTTTTCAGTTCTGAGACTTCCTGCTGAATAAGCTCACCCTTTCTTGTTCTTACAGAGCTCTGTGCTGGCTGGTTCAGCTCAGCTGTTCTGGCTCAAACACCTCTCCTAGATGACTTATACAATCTAGCCTTTCTCTCAATCCCTGAATTGCTCTGCTTGGCTCAACTAATTCCAGCAATGTTTTCTAATCTCCTGGCTCCTCATTCTCTGGCTCATTCAGTCTTCACCTGAGTTCTCTCTCTCTCTGTAACCTGTCTCTTTATGACTGGCCCTATAAAACTGCCTCTTCTCTCTCCCTTCATTGCCCCTTAAGTAGCTTCCCTTTCCCTCCTTTTCTCATGAGAGTTGGGTGTATCCTATCCTGTCAAGTCTCTCTCTGATTCATCACTCTTTCTGCCGCTCAATTAGACATCACCTTCAAACATGGGTGGTATCTTTTACAAACTAACTTTACCTTCATCGTTGGGAGCAAAGGTGTGCACCACCACACCTGGACCTAAGCTTTTCTTTACCTGAAACTTGCTCTGTACCAGACTGCCCTTGAACTCAGATCTTCTTGCCTCTGTCTTCTGGATTAAAAGCATGTTTGTATTCCAGCTAGATCACACAAACCTAGAAGGTCTTTGGATGTGATGTCTTGCCAGAGATGCCATGTTCTGAATTAAAATTCCTCTAAACAGAATCAGTGCAATCCCCATCAAAAGTTCAAGACAATACATCACAGAAATTGAAAGGACAATTTTCAGCTCCGTTTGGAAACACAAAAAACCCAGGATAGGTGAACAATTCTGAATAGTAAGAGAACTGATGAGGGTATCACCAGCCACACCTCCAGCTCTGTTGTACTAAAGAGCCGCAGTAATAAAAAGAAGATGGTGTTGCATAAAAACAGACATGTTGATCAAGGGGATCGAACTGAAGACCCAGACACGTCCACACACCTGTACACACCTGATTTTTGGCAAAGAAGTAAAAAAGACACAGTGTGTAAAACCTCTTCAACTGGTGGTGCAGGTCAAACTGGACGGCTGCACGTGGAAGAATGCGATCCATGCTTATCACCTGCACAAAACTCACCTCCAAATGGATCAAGGACCTCAGCAGATGGCTGGGTACCCTGACTGATAGAGAAGACAGTGGGGCCCAGGCCATAAGACCAACAATTAATAAATGGGACCTCATGAAAACGAAAAACTTCTGTACAGCAAAAGGCACCATCATATAGGCGAAGTGGCAACCTACAGAATGGGAAAATATCTTTACCGATTACACATCTGATAGAGGGGTAGTATCTAACACATATAAAGAACTAAAAAAAAAAAAAACTAAGCATGAGGAAAGTAAATGGACACTCACAAAAAGAGAATTACAGATCTCAGCAGAGTTTTCAAAGGTGAAACACTAAACTCAGAGAAACACTTCTAAAATGTTCCACATCCTTGCTTATTTTGATTTTCATACAGTGTGTGGAGTTGTATACGTGTATTTCTTGGGTTGTGTGTGTGTGTGTGTGTGTGTGTGTGTGTGTGAAAGAGAGAGAGAGGACAAAGTTGGATAAGGAGAGAGGTAGGAAGGCACTGGAAGAAACTGGGGGAGGGAAAGCATGATCAAAATATATTCTGTGAAGCATTTTTAAAAAGCTTTAGAAGAAAGCCCTTGGAACAGTTCTGAGTACAGGGTTAGGTGCTCACGAACTCGGTCAATGGATTCCAGTGACAGCCACGGCAGCGTGGCAAATTCTGCCCCGAGAACTATCGAGGCAGATCAAGAGCGACTTTCAGAACAGTGGATCAATGTTAGCGTTCCTATACGGAGCTGTCACTCACGGAGCATTCTTAACCTGACTTGTTGCCTTTAAGTAATGTCCCGGGTAATCATGATGTAATAGGAAGTTCCTATTTCACCAGTGCTGGGACTGAGCTCACATTTAGTGGTTGTGTCCCTTACATGCATCCATCAGCAAAGACTTCTTATGCCTTTCTTAGGAGAAAGTAGAAGGGGAATAAATAACAGAGGATTTCCCTCAGCAGGGGAAGTCGTGGCGGGAACCCTAATCGGGACTGGACTCTCACAGGTTTAATAATCGCAGGGCAGAATGGTGGTGCCAAGGCTGCCCTGAGTCAGAAGAGGTGGCCCGGCGCAGTGTCCACTCCAGGGCGGCGGACGCACCCTGATCAAAGCTTTGCAGCTCTGAGCCGGAGCGGTCTGCTTGGCAAAGGAAACTGGAAACCTCAGAGACCTTCCCCCTGCACCTCCGACCGGCACCCGATGCTGCCGCCCCCTCTGCGGCCGATTGGCTCTTCAGCGCTGTGGCTGCCCCGCCCGGCAGTGGGTGGACTCGCTCACCTTCCCCAGCCGGCCGGGCTGGCCGGCCTCTCTGCCCACTGTCCTCTCTCCTCCCCTCCAGCATGGTGTGTCTGTGGCGCCCCAGAGGCCCCTGTGTGGCAGCTGTGATCGCGGCGCTGATGGCGCTGAGCCCTCCCGTGGCTTTGGTCCGGGACCCCCGACGTAAGTGCACGCCTCAGGGCTGGGCTGCTGGGGGTTGGGGAGGAAGGGGCTGCTTCAGTTTGTCTTCAATAGGTAAACTTAACATTTTTTTTTCCCTTTGAGCACTTCCTTTAAACACAAAATGTTAAATCATTTCCATATAAAAGGGTCTTGGACGCTCCTCCGAGGCCGGCGAATGGAATCAACCCTTGGGTCGTGTCCCCTCCTCAGGAGACCCCTCCAGCCTGACCTCACATTTCCTAGGGGCTTGAAAAGATGAAGGAGCCAAGGAGCTAAAAGAACCTCTCTCAATTGTTAGGATAGAAAAGGGGGGAGGGATTCTCTGAAGATTTTATGAGCAGTGAAGGGATCTGGGGAGCCCTGTCCTAGGAGACTGTGCTGGCCTCTCTCTGGGATCTGCAGCATTGGCACTTCTGGCTATGATGCCAGGAGGGATCGGGGCATTTTCTTTTATCCCCGAACCCTGATGTTTAGGAACCCTGCACCCCTGTGCTGGGAGTGCCGTCATGGGAAGCGCGCAGTGTCATCTCTTCTGCGGAAGGGACCCTGGGGCCGAGCCAGGAACTTAATGCTTGGTTCGGCCTCCGAGACAGGGAGCAACAATGGTGTGCTGCCTGGCACCTCGAACTCAGCGGGTCCTCTGAAAACCCAGCGCAGGCTGGAGTCTGCTGCGGCTCCGAACCGCCCTGCACTGTTTCCCTAGCGCCAGCTGCATTCCTGCCTGAGCGTAAAGCAGAGGACGCAACTGGTTTAAGATGTGAGATTCTGTTTTCATGCGTCAAGTGTGGTCAGTCAGGATCAGCAGTTTCCTATGGTTCCAAGCGCACAACCGAGCAGGGGGGCCGGCAGCTCGGAGGCGGCTAGAAGCCAATCAGGAGACAAAGCCGTAGGTCGGGCAGGCTTCCCCAAAGTTTGTAGGCTCCATCATCTGTTCTCCATCATCCATGTGGAGCCGTTGGTCTCTACAGTCCTCTCGGACCTTTCCCAGGACACGTGGTTGTCTTAGGCTGTGTAAGGACGTGAAAGAAACACAAGTCTTATATATGTGTGTGTATGTATATATGGGCATATGTGTATATATGTATCACGAGTCTGTGTGAGTGTATATGTGAGTGTGTGCGCACACGCGTGAATGCTGATTTCTTGTAGCTCTGGAGGCTGGGAAGTTCAGTGTTCATATGCTCGCAGCTGCTGTGTGCATGTTTGCTTCATGACCCCATGCAGGGAGGTAGGACAGAAAACTGAGCGAGAGAAAGAAAGGAAGAGAGGGAGGGAGGGAAGGAAGGAGGGAGGAAGAGACAAAGAGAGAGAGATGGACACAGACAGGAGACAGAGACAGAGAGACAGAGAGAGAGACACAGAGGGAAACAAAGTAACAAAGAAAGCAAGCTGCTTTTGCAAGCCCACAGTAATGATTCAGCTCCCACGACAAAGATAAGGTCCCCATGACAGGTCACTTCCTGGATGCTCTACTTCTCCCCTCTGTTCCAGAGGGTGGTACTTCCAGCTCACCAACTTTATAGGACATTCCACACATCAGAGTGCCATGACTCCAAAACCACATCTTTTTTCACAGAACATGAGGCGGAGGTCCCTCAGGGAGCCTTTGCCTGTGGCTTCCCTCTTCAAGTCCAATGATCAACGCACTCACATGGATATGCTCGGCTTTGCCTTAGGGGACCCTGTGGTGGCTTTAGCCCTGTGCGGCCCAGGGGCACCTGGTGGGGTCTGTTTGTGGTGGCCCAGGCCTTGCAACAAAACTGGCTCATGCATCACAGGGAAACGCAGGGAAACCCCCATGGCCAGCAACCCTAGCTCTCTGCACCTGCAGACCAGCGGCCACTGAGGACGCCAGCGTCAACAGCTGTGCACTGTGGCCTGGTGTGTAAGCCGCACCTGGACCCCCTTGTGCTGTGGACTGGGAGGGCAGAGCCCTGTGCTGGGAGAAAAGAGGCGCCAAGTGTGCGCCTCCCTCGTGGGTCGGGGCTTAAGCACAAGGTGAGAAGTTCGGTCAGGAATCTGACTTCAGTCAGCAAACAAGCGTTTGGCTGGGCGTCCACCCATTTTCTCAGGCGCCCTGCACCCTCAGGCTGGGCCACCGGCTGAGGAAGGCCGCGCAGAGGAGCCCACACTCCCAGCGTCAGGCAGGCACTCGGGGTGTCTGCGGGTCGTGAGATGGGCTTTGTCCGTCTTGGAATTCACTCCTTGGGGTCAGAAATTTGTTTCTGGGCGGAGAGAGGGTTGTTCAGGGCTCTACCGAAGCTCTGGCTCACAGCCATCTCTTCTGGCTTCCGCATAGCACACTCAGAGGAGCCCACCCCCCACGCCTGAGTAAAAATAGACACGAGCAGTTCAGAAGAAAAGAAAGAGCCTATCTGAGGCCTAGCGTGATGGGTAAGCGTGCACGCCACCAAGCCTGACAGCAGAGTTTGATCCCTGCTCACAGGGTAGGGAGCTGAAGTTGTCTTCTGACACACACAGGTGCGCCACGACACACATACACACGCGCTAAACAAGATGCGACAAAAACCCAAAAAGTTTATTAAAATGTGTTATCAGGGTAACCTGGGCTACACTGTGTCGGGCTACATCGAGTTTTTGTTACTGTGCGTGTGTGTGCACGTGCGTGTGCTCGTGAGTGAAGATTCCCACAGAGTTTAGGAGAGGACGTTGGATCCGGTGGAGCTGGAGCTACAGGCAGCTATGCTCCGCCTGGCGCAGGTTCTGGGGTCCCGCCCTGGGTCCTCTGTAGCAGCGGCGAGCGCTCTCTCCAGCCCCTGACATCGGTGTACCTCCAGTGGCTGGTGATGCAGCCAGACTGCTGGGAACGCATCCCTCCTCCTTTCACCTTTTCTCACCCCCCCTCTACCATCCCCAGGCTAGAGGCCACGCCCCACCTCAAGCGAGTGGGAACCCGTTGTATTTGTCTTTCTGAATCTGCTCCTGTCACTTAGCATCACAGCTTCCTGTGGCTTCCAGGCTGCTCCAAGTGGCGGGTCTCACTCCCTGCGTGGCCGAGTAAGATTGCGTTGTGCGCACACAGCACACTTCCTCCATCTGTCCGTCCACGGGCAGGCATCTCTGCTGACTGCTCAGGTTTGTTTTGGATACAGATGTCTATATTAATCCTCATTTCCAAGAGTGTGAGGTTTCCCTTTCACTCTATCCTCACCAGCACTTGTTAATGTCTGCTGAGCCACCTTAACTGCTGAGACAACATCCCGCTGGGGTTTGGGTGTCTCTCAAATGCTCGTTGGGTGTTGGCATGGCCTGTCTTCTCCTGGGAGATGTCTTTTTAGTTCCCTTTCCTGTGTTTTGACTGGCTTCTTTGGTTTTCTGATGCTCACATTTTCGAAAGATTGTCTATGTATATGGAAGGTTTAACTGTGTGTGTGTGTGTGTGTGTGTGTGTGTGTGTGTGTGTGTGTGTGTGTGTGTGCAAGCTGTGAGCATGCAGTGCCCACAGAGGCCAGAGGAGGGCAATGGATCCTCTGGAACTGTAGTAACAGATGGTTGTGAGCTACGAACCCAGGACCTCTGTAAGAGCAGCCAATGCTCCTAACCACTGACCCAACTCTTCAGCCGCAGGCCTGGTCTTTAAAGGTTCCTTTCAGCAAGTTCATTATTGCTACAGAAAGTGCACAAAAGCCTTTTGTGTGCTGATTTCGATCCTGTAGCTTCGCTGAATTTAGTTCTAACAGCTTTTGGTGGATTATTTAGGTTTTTATATGTATTAAAATCATGGTGCCTGCAAACATGGATAACTTCCTTCCAACTCTCATATTTCCAATTTTTTATTGTTTAATAGCTCTTGCAGAGGCTCCCACTAATGCACCGTACAAGAGCAGTGAGCATGGACGGTTTCTATCTTATTTGATAGAATAGCCAGGAAGAAATGGCTTTGGAGCCACCCACTCTGAAACCCACTGAGGTTTTTACATATTGCTGTTACCCTTTTGGTGTGTGTTCCTTCTACACCTATTTTATTTTTATTTTTTTTAGTTTTGCTTACCATAAACAGCATGACTTTTACCAAGAGCTTTCCTTCTGTCTGCTGCAGTGGCCTTCCTGCTGCTGGTTTGCTATTTCATACTTATTTTCTCTCACATGTCAACCCATCCTTACGTCTGAAAGCTGAGTCGTACCAGACACGGCCTGTGAATTTTTGGCGTGCTGTTGAATTTGGTTTCCTAATTTTATTGGAAATTTTGGAATCTCTGTTCATAAAGGGTATGACCCTGGCTTAATTTTGGCTGGATCTTTGCCTATTTGTTTCAGGGAATCCTGGCCTCACAAGGAAGGGTTTGCAAAGAGCTATCCATTCCCGTTTTTTAGAAGAGTGTAACTACGGTTGGAATTGATTCTTCAAATATTTCATAAAATCTGGCAGCACACCACGACCTGAACTCTCGTTATTACTGGTCTGTGCTGTTTTATATTCTTCTTGGTCCAGTCACTGTGGGCTGTGTTTGCTCAGGGATTTATCGGTCTCCAGGCTTGCCAGCTGTTTGACACAGACTCCTTCGAGGCAGTGTCTTACAAATCACTGTATTACGGAGTTAACTGATAATGCCTCTGTTATCTCTGATTTCATTTATTAGGCCTTCTCTCTCTCTCTCTGTTTCTTGGTTATTGTAGATAATGGTTTGCCAGTGTTGTTAACCCTTTAAGAATGGCTCTTTACTTCACCAATCACTGTGCCGTGTACTTTTGTTTTACCTTATTGGTTTAGGAAGTGATCTGTATCATTTCTTATCTTGGCAGATTTCTGCTCTGGGCCATTCTTGCTTTCCTAACTCCTCGAGATGTGTTCATTGTTGTTGCTTTTTATTACTTTATATCATTTTATGTAATGTATTATTACTAAAAAAAAAAAAAAAAGTTTCCTTTAGCCATGAAATAAAATCAAAGTAGTACCATTTCCAGAAAACAGTACAGAACTGGCAACAGTCAAGGCAGCTGGAATAAGCCAGACTCAGGACACAGGCTGCTGTGCAGGT